TGGTGTGATCCCTATACCCCATCTTATGCACATTTCTTATCGCTCTTTTTTGTAATATATACAATGGTTGAAGTGAGCTTATGTATGTATTCCCCCAGTTTTGATGTCTAGCTGGGTATCGGTGTTACTGGCTGGAATGTGTTCAGCACAAAGTATCAAAAACTGTCAAGTAATGAAAGTTGCAATATGCTTGGGTTTAATTGTTCTTTGATTAGATCTGACCTGATTGAATTAAAGGGAAAGATGGACAATTTCAAACAGTTTTATTCAGCCAGAGTTCTTGTGATAATTTCTTCGTTTGTGAAATTATAAAAGTATTATGTAGATGTTTTTTGTTCTAAAGTGATGTCACTGAGAAATCATTATCTTTACCATAATACAGGTATTATATGAGAACTAGAGAAATTTCTAACTATACTCTGCCCTGTTTACTGTTCAAGTTAACAGGGCAGATATGACAAGGGTCCACTTATTAACTTATACCCGCAGTTACGTCAAAGTCTTCATAAGTAGAGGGTGTTTGCTTGGTTGTTATGGAGATAAAAACTAGATGTCTACTTGGCACAGTCCTCACAGGCTGTCTCTTCACACTCAGGCTCATCATTCGTCAGGAGAAGACATGGAGATCTCTGACGACGAGATGCCTGGGACACCGATCACCAGCGGAGACTGTGGCAAGGGCATTGTTGTCAACTCTGCGGTATCCCCAATGCAGACGATTCCCATCCCTCCTCCCGGCTTCCCCCCTCTACCGCACCAAGCCGGCTTCCCGATCCCGCATCATCACCTGGCCCCACACTCTGCCGTCCCTGGGCATCCTTCTCACCTGGCCGGTCATCCTGGGGTGCCTCACCATATGCTGGCACCCATGGGTCCCTACCCTCATAGCATGATGCCACTAGTGCAGATGGAGCTGATGAACTGCTTGCGTTGGGAACAGTGGAGCACAGTTCCCATGTCATTCCAGATGCAGCAGCAGATGCTGAGTCGCATAGCTCAGACTAGGGGGCCGTATCCTTATCCACATTTTATGGACAGTGGTGCGTCTGGGCCGTTTGGTGGGCCTTACCAGCCTCTCTCTATGGGTGGCGCACCAGCTAGTGGTGGCACAGGGGCACCTGGACAACAATGGCAGCATCCCAGTATACCAAAGTTCAACCCTACTGTTCCTCCTCCAGGATATGAGACTAAAAAGGAGGATCCCCACAAGGCCACTGTCGACGGTGTGCTGCTGGTCATTGTCAAAGAGCTGAAAGCCATCATGAAGAGGGACCTCAATCGCAAAATGGTGGAGGTGGTGGCTTTTAGAGCCTTTGATGAGTGGTGGGATAAGAAAGAACGCTCAGCAAAGGTAAGTCTTTCAAGGTATAGCGACAAATAGAACTCACATGCATATGTATTTGGGGAAAATGTACTTGTACTGACTTCTAATTGCTCTAATGTAATTGTTTTATTAATGTGAATTTAATCAGCAAAACAAATAAGGTCTATGGTGTAAGATTTAATTACATAAAATTAAAAGAATGAGTTTAATTGACATCTGTGTAGTTCTGGTTGATTTGCTTGATCCAGCATACTCCCACAAGAGTTGACAGGTGTCATAATAAACTCATCTGATGATTCTGAACAATTGTTTCAGTAAAAAAAAAAGTTTAAATATTTTTTTTTTATGCTTTAGATTTTAATTGAGGTGAAAACTGCAGTGTCCATGGTTTGATTCCTGGGCAGGGGACCTGTGTTTCATGTCATTCCCATTATAACAAGGTTTAATACACTAACTATCTAGCAGTAAGAGTTGCACTCTGTTTCCCAGGCATCTTTGACTCCAGTAAAAGGAGCAGAGGGGAAAGAAGAAGAAAGACCCAGACTCAAAGAGACAATGGGTTCAAGTCTGCTGGAGAATTGGAACAAGGGTGATGGACTGGCCTACGAGGGAATGGGCTTGGGTCTCAGCTTGCGAGGAACCATCCGACTGCCCTCCTTCAAGGTAAGTCATGATATTAGTCTCTTAGTAAACACTGATAAGGCGGGAGCCTCTCCATTCTCACCTAGTTGCACTGGCTGTTGGTGTTTAATGGTGGCATGTTGTGCTCAGGTGAAAAGAAAGGACCCACCTGAGGCTGCAGCAGCAAGCGACAACAAACGAGCCCGGCCCTCCACTCCAGTGGATGACGAGCTGGAGGAAGAAGGTAACCCTCTGCTATCAATGCAACAAGCCAAACACTCTAGACTCGTAATTCTCCCTTTTGTTCCCAGTGTTCTAAGCTAATTTGTCTTGTGGGTCATTCCTGTCAGATCGGGACAGAGACCCAGCAGAGCTCCCCTCAGAAGATTCTAAAATCGACAGCGACGGCATGTCTGCAAAGCGACGGCACTCACGACCACTTAAGCTGGACAGCGAGGGAGAGGAGGAGATGGACACCTCAGGGAAGGAGGAAGAGTCTTTGTCCGATAGAGAGGAGGAACCTGATGAAACGGAGGCTGCACATAGGCTGTCATCAGGCAAAGTAAGCCTTCTGAGAAAATGACTACATGTATTTAATAAATTGTTCATTTTGTATGCATTTTATAATCTATGTGATCATGTTTCAGGAGAGTGACGACGAAGACGGTGATGACGAAGACAATGGAGACTCATCTAGTGAAAGTGGTTCCTCAGATTCGTCTGATGAAGGTACTTTAAATATCTGACAGCAACAGTCGATTGGTTCTTTTCATGTCCTATGTTTCCTGTAATTCATCAGTTCTTTGTTCCAATTCTTGCAGAGCCTGAGAGTTCAGCTTCTTCTGACTCCTCAGCAGGAGAAAACTCCTCTGAGTACGAGTACGAGTCTGAGTTCGAGGTGCACGACAACGAGGAGGAAGAAGAAGGGCTGGTAGAAGATGATGTGGAGGATGAAGGCAAAGAGGCCGAGACTTCCTCGACAGCTTCAGAATTTTTATCTTCTGATGAAGAGAAGGGGGAGGCTGAGGCCAAGCCACCAAGCCCTCCTGCAGGACCAGTTCTAGAGGATAAGGAGGACAAGAGGAGCAGAGAGGAACTAAGCAGCAAGCTCAAGCACAGACCTCCAAGTCCCAAGGAGGAGGTAATGGAGGACCTGAAGCCACCATTACTTACAGGCATCCCAGGTGAGTGTCTGCTACTAGATCTGTTTTGATCATGGGAAACAGAGATAATCTTAAAGTATTTATCATGTAAATAAAATACCTATCGTTTCTTGTGTTCTAGTCAAAGAGGAAGACATCAGTGTAAACAGCAACATTCCTGTAGTGAAGTCTGAACCTCAGGAGCATGTAGCCAATCTTCGGCCACCCACTCCCACATGCCCGCTGCCTGACAGTGACCAGGAGATGAAGGCTAAAGGTAAAACAGAGCCGGAGGAAGTAGCCTGCACCCCCGGTCGATTAGCCCCACCCCACTTAGATTCAGACACACCCGTTCCCAAATCCATCTCCACATATTTAATGCACCTCCCTCTCCCTGCTCACCCGACAGTAGAAAGCCGTTCCCTGCTTCATCCAGCCTCTGGTCTTCTGCCAGACCTCCCTCAGCGGGCCAGAATCCCCACAGATGAGGACATACCCCGCACACCGGGTAGGGACCTGATGGAGCGTGTCCACATTTTGGGCAAGTCCCAGAGCACAGACACAGTCCCCAACACTCCTGGGAGTGATGCCCCACTTACAGGTAGCAGCCTGTTGCTTAGCTCCCCTCACATCCCTGGTAGCCCGTTTTCCTACCCTGCTCAGTCCCCGGTCCTTAGTGCTGGAATCCCCCGCACTCCAGGAAGAGACTTAACATTCACCCCTGTCTTCCCTGACCCCACAGCGGTGACTCTCAACAGGAAAATCTCTTCTGAGAGCCTGGATGATAGACCAGTTTTTAAGGAGCCACCCATCAGCACCCTGCCTAATCAAGCCCTGTCAGCTGGCACAGAACACTCAGTCAGCATCCCTGAAGATCTGCCTGCTGGGATCACGATAGACGTCCCTGTGCCATCAGACACTGCATCGTCAAGGAGGAAACCTGGACGACCCAAAGGCAAAAAGATCTCAGCTGTCACTGCAGCTGATGATTCTTTGGAGCTCTCATCTGAGTTTACGCCTCTGCCTCACGATACCCATCTCGGAGATCTATCCGTGCAAATGATGTCTGTAAAGTCTCCTGAACACCCGAGCCTGGACTTTCAGGGGAGAGAGGTGGAGCCCCGGACTGTCCTACCTGCCGAAGATGGCTTTCTGTCCTATGAAGAGGAGAGGCCTGTGGCTGTGAAGCCCCCTCGAAGGGCACGGCGGGGTTGGGAGGAGCTGCTGCTGGACAGCCTGTCGCCCGTTACCACACCTCCCCGGCCGTACTTTACCCCACGTACCAATTTTGAGGAGATGACCATCCTGTATGACATCTGGAATGAGGGCATAGATGAGGAGGACGTTCGGCTTCTGCAGATCACTTACGACAAGATGCTCCAGCAGGACAATGGCAACGACTGGCTCAACGACACACTCTGGGTGAACCATCCTCATATCCTTCACTGCTTAACACCGTCTGATATTTACACACAGTGTTGTCATTAGTAATATAAATCTTTTATGTATGTCACTTTTCAGAACAGTTACAAATTGGTCCACACTGTAGAAGCTGGAGAGACCAGACACAGAACAAATCATTTTAGGAGCTCAGTCCATTAAATACCTCATAAAATGAGTGTAATTTTGTTGTTTTTTACTTTATGTACCAAGTAGCACCCCCTCTGGTGGTGAAAAGGAGGAACCTTTTGGCTAGTATTACTGTAAATATCTGTTGAACTCAGTGTTTTGATCCCAGCTGTGATTTGAGGCCTTTTCAGTTTCTTCCTTGACTCCCCTGTACCTACCAACATCCCTGGCGTGAAGAAAAAGAGGAGAGATGACGGCATGAGGGATCACATGACCGGCTGTGCCAGAAGTGAGGGATACTACAAGATCGACAAGAAGGACAAGATCAAGTACCTTCAGAGCACACGGGTGCAGTCGGAGGAGCCACCGGTTGACACACAGGTGGGCAGGAGACCACAAATTGTTATGCTTGAGTTGCCTGCACAGTAACGTGAAAATGTGCCCTTCCAAAAATCAGTGGCATTATATGTAAATCTGCTGTGGGTGGGCAGATCTAACTTCATCTTCTCTGTGCAGGGTATGAGTATTCCTGCTCAGGTCCACGCCTCTACCAGGGCTGGTTCGGAGCGGCGGTCGGAGCAGCGACGTTTGCTGTCCTCGTTTGCATGTGACAGTGACCTGCTGAAGTTCAACCAGCTGAAGGTGAATAGAGTCAAACAGAACTTTGTTCCACTGGCCAGTTTGATCCCCCGTTAGTTGTCAAGAGCAACCACTGTTTATGGATGTATGCAAAATCGCTTTATTTCCATTTCCACAATAAACAAGAACATAAGACAGAAAGGCACAACAAACACAGACAACTGCTAACACTGGTTGTCAATACAAAAATTAAACGTAATTATAAGTTTGTTCCCAATACTTAAAAAGTGACAATTTCTCCTTTTTTTTTTTTTTTTTTTTTTTGCTTTCAGTTCCGTAAGAAGAAGATCAGATTCTGCAAGTCGCACATCCACGACTGGGGTTTGTTTGCTATGGAGCCCATCGCTGCTGATGAAATGGTGATAGAGTATGTGGGACAGAATATCAGACAGGTGAGAGACAGTTGATTGGTTGTAAACAATGATTATATTTTATCCAAATCAATCCATGTGATCTGTCTGACCTCATAGGGCATCAAGGGTCAGAACCAACAATAGTAAATAACCATAAAGCAAACTTGGAGGTCCAAGCACACGTTGCTTGGACCTCCAAGACAAACTGTCAGACATTTAACAAATGATCTTCATTTCCAGGTGATTGCGGACATGCGGGAGAAGCGCTACGAGGAGGAGGGCATCGGTAGCAGCTATATGTTCCGCGTTGATCACGACACGATCATAGACGCTACCAAGTGTGGCAACTTTGCCCGTTTCATCAACCACAGCTGCAATGTAAGACATCTGCTGGCTCTGTCATCTTTTCTACATTTACTCATTCGGTACCTAAGTACAGTTTTGTGGTACATCTATGTATTTCTATTTTCCACTAGTTTATACTTCAGCTCCACGACAGTTCAGTTTCTAAATAAGTGGGAACATTTCAACCTGCAAATTAATTCATTTTAAAAATGATTATTGTGCAGCAACTTTCCTTATTTGACTTGTTTCACTATATAGATGTCATTTTAAAGCATAAAGCAAAATACAATTTTTAGGACTTTTAGACAAAAATGTCTTAGCGATGGTTTTTTTTTTACAGATTAAAGCTACTTTACCTAATTCTTTTCAGCTCCTAGAGGGTCCAGTGAGACTCACATCTACTATTGTTCATGACTCCAAACATGATCCAGAGTAAGTCATCATTTACATTAATCATATTTTGTCTTTTCTTTCAGCCTAACTGTTATGCGAAAGTCATCACAGTTGAGTCACAGAAGAAGATCGTAATCTACTCCAGACAGCCCATTAACATCAACGAGGAGATCACCTACGACTACAAGTTCCCCATCGAGGACGAGAAGATCCCCTGTTTGTGTGGGGCAGAGAACTGCAGGGGGACGCTGAATTAATGGAAGAGCTCCCAAGGCACTTACAGACTCTACAGCAATGCCCCGGGTGAAGAGGGGTTGAAGAGGAAAGGTTTGATTTGAGAAGCAACCTGCAAGTTGTCTAGATAGTTTGGCTACCTGTACCGTACTCTTCACATATTTAACTCTAGATTGGTTACGATTTATGGTGCTCATGAAATGGAAAACATAGTTTTTTATGTATGCCAGTAACCCTGAATTTACAAAACACTTGACTTGCTGTTGCAGCATTTCCTCCCCCTGTTCTAAACATCAGACAGTATTTCAACATGGTCCCTTCCATAGCCAGTCTTGGGTTGTACAGTTTTACACTTTTTTTTTCTCCTCTCTCATTTGTCTCATAAGCTTTACATACACCACATGTGGTACAAAACAAACTCACATGATCAGCTGCTTACTAACACTGTTGAGACGCACAAGCCCACCAGGAAAACCCTTCTCTGTGGGAGAAGATGTGGTCAGCCTGAGCAGATGGCACACGGAGCTGTTTCCATCTAGCAGCAGGCGGGAGGGCCGCAGAGCGTCACGGCCGGCCACGGACTGAAACCGTCTTTTCACTCCTACCTCCTCTGCACCAGTTTTCTTGGAGATAAATCAAACTGTTCAGAAAAAAAAAATCAAACAACAACAATGGTGAAATGTTGCCACAAAATCTGGAAAATTTGGATATCACACCCACTTTTCACCAGCTAATAACGAATCATGCTGCTTCCTATTAGTTTATGCAACATTTAAAGAAAATGTGCAGAATTTGTATTGATATTCCAGTGTGGTCCAGGTTTGTTTAGGTAGTTCTCTTCGTGGTTGTTTCTTCAAAGACACTATTTGTATGAGTGTGTATCAGGCTTCTGAATGAGAGTATCATCTCAGTGTGTGCGTGTTTGTGTGAATGTGAGGGCACCGCCCCCTGTAGGCAGTGGTGCAGAAAGGCCGGCCAATCAGAAAATGCAAATTGAATCAGTTTCTGTCTACGTCAGCAGCATCTGAAAATACTTGCCAGACTTAAGTTTTCAGCTTTTGAGGAAGGAATGATTTCTCGTTGTAAGTGCCATAAGAATTTGCAACTGTCTTTGTGTAACCTGAGCAGCCAGATGATGTAAAGCCATCACCTGCTGCTGTGTTATCATGCATGTGCAAAGTTGTTGTTTCAGCTTCCTCTGCCTGGGATAACCGTCTCGTGTTTGCCTGCTCATAGATTCCTCAGCTACGACACTTATTACTTGACCAGTGTTTGTTTGTTGCAAGACACAAGTGTTTCTTTGTCCCAGCAGACCTCCTGCGAGGGTTTTTTCTTTATAATTTCTATAAAGATAAAAAAATATACATTTGCGAATGCACTCGAGGCTTGCACTTCTGCTTTGTGCCCTCTCTTAGTCAATCAGCCTCCTTCCCTTACCCCCACCAGACCAAGTCAGTCATTACTTTTCATTCAGTTGGCTTGATAAAGGAGATGTCCTTTTTTCACCATTGATGTTTATATTGTATATGGTAACTTGTACAGAAGATCTGAAACTTTTTCTTTATCTTCACAGGGTTAACACTTTTAAAATGCATCTTTTTCTCCTTTTAAAAAAACAAACAAAAGACTGAGTATTTAAATCTATTTTCAGGGATCTGTAAAAGGAATCTGAGGGTTTAAAAGGTCGTTTATTTAAAGAAAAAGGTCCATGTGTACAGGAACAGCTCCCGCCTCCCTTTTTGAAAGATTGTTTCTTGTAGAAACGTCTTCAATTTTCTGCCCATTTTCTTTGTAATCCTAAAAATGTGTAAATACTATAACTGTGAATACTATATAAATATATATATATTTTTTGTTCACTGGGATTTGCTATATGAGCTCAGCTCAAAAATCTATGTCACATGAGGTGAGTGATGAGATAGTAGCAGGAAATTCAGCTTGTGTCAAGCTTTTTTTAAAAAATTTTTGTTGTAAATTCTATGAAAGGTTGTTTGTGGTGTGGACAAAAAAACCTAAAGGTGCAGAATCGGCATGGGAAGAGGACTGAAGCAGCAGCCCGTTTCTCATGTCTATTTATTACACAACAGATGTATGGAAAAGGAAAAATGGAAATAAAGCGATTTTGCATACATCCATAAACAGTGGTTGCTTTTTTGATGAAATGAAGAAAATTAGCTCCAGGTGATTTAATTGATGGCTGAGATGAAGCCACACAGTCTGGCAGATGCTGGATTTTCATGAATGAAAACAGGCAGTGGTTGACCACACAATGATTGTGTCAGACTAGTTCGCTTGTCTTTCTCATACACCACCAAGACGTCAGAATGAAAACATGAATGTTTTTGCTTTGTAGCCTCAAACCAAATCTTTTAGAATTCAAGTCTCAGGTGTATGTGTAGAGGCTACTGCTTTGCTGATTTCACTCATCATTTTCTCCTCTGGCTGAAGCATTGTTATTAATCAGTGAATCAGCTGCTGTTGTGTTTGGGTGCAGTGAAAATCTGCAGCCTGACGTCACCTTTGTCCTAACCCTGCGCTGACATTCACACAGTCCAGAAACTGAGAGAAAGGATTCCAGTGTGGTCTGTGTGTGTGTTGCCCCAAGGTCGTGACAGGAGGAGGGTGGTGTGACCACAACAGAGAGGATGGGATGGGAGAGTGAGCATAGGCAGCATGGGAGCCCAGCTCACACTCATCCCCATCTGCTGAATGATATCAAACACACACCTCCACACCAAGCAGTTTGGCTGGTCAGATGTTTCCACTCCAGCTGTGCCCTCGTGTATTGTCATTTTTTAATTCAATTCAGTTCATTTGTATAGCACCAAATCACAACAAAGGTCATCTCAGGACACTTTACAAAGTGAGGTCTAGATCTTATTATTATTATCATTATAGAGGAAAAATCCAATGATTTTTCTTCATGCAACAGTTTTTTGTAGAAGGACATGATTACAGCTTCGATGGCTCAGATTTAAGTTAAAGATTTAACTGTAATGGATGGATTTTGACATGATCAGCTACAAAGACAGTCAAGATACACAGGTTTTTCCTGTAAGGTATTTACATGCTTTTGCTAAAGTTTTACAAATATTTTAAAATGATATTAAATAGAGATCTATGTTTCACTTTCACTACATGATACAGTTACATCTATGGCTTAACATCACTTTGATTTTGACAAAGTATTCCATAGATTTTCAGTTTTTGTGTACATTCCCACTGAGGGCCTGTACAAGCCTGCTGGGCTGTGTTCATTTAACATTTAATGTCAGCACAGCCTTCTATCTCAGGGATGTCTCACCACAATGGAACCAAGGCAGAGAGAAAAAGCCCGTGTTATCACTATTCATTAAAAGAAAACCCTGAAAATATGAGAAAATTGTGTATTTTTATTGTATGAATACAGTGAATCTTAAAACAAGTTCAAAGAAAAATGTGAACACTGACATGCAAATGTCAATCCCATATCTGACTTTTTTTCTGTGCAGATGTTTTACAGTGGTTCATATTTGCATATCTGAAGCCTCCTCTGCTGCTGCTGGTTTATACTGATGCTGGTGTACTGGCAAATATGCAGAATAAACACACGCAGAGGCGATGATGCATGTAGAAAAGTTTGCATGTTGGATGCTGGAGAGTCAGCTCATTAGCAAACGACACTACAGGTCTTTGTCACAGTAGAAATCCAACTTGGAAAAGCGCAGGTATTACTAATAACATTAATGATCGCTCTGTTCCTTTTAAGTGCACCATGGGGCCATGTTAATGAGCCAAGCACAGACTGTAAACACAGTGTCTACTGAGCAAACATGGAAACTGGTAGAACCCTGGAACATGTCAAGATGAATGGATTTTATTCCTTATTAATATGTCTGTGAGCTTCCTGTTACAATTTGTCAAAATGTCTACTACTACTGTAGGAATACCTGAAAACATATCAGGCTCGTGTACTGTTTGGGGTTAATATTCAATACTTCTCCTGCTGATATGACACTACAAGGTGAGCCTGTGCCCCTACTTGTTTTCAAATAAAACTGTGAAATGTGTAGTCTACTACAAAAATATTTGATGTGAACAAGAACCAAAGTCACTAAAACTGAAAATATTCATGATTGTGATTAACTTTTTTCTTGCCTTTTCTTGTTGTTTTTATCTTTGCTAGCAGCACAACTAAAAAAAATCATCAAGTCAAATTTAAAATTTGTCCTTTACTACTGGAGTTAAATAATCCTGCAGAGACAGCATGGCACAATCATACACATTTCAACATTTTACACTATTCTATTTCACAGTTTGGTTTATATATACAGTGTTCTTTACTGGAGCATTTCCCACAGATGTGAAAACTCTACACTGTACCTCAGGTTCAAATAGGAAACCTCGCTTTCATATAAATGTGGGGAAAACTAAGTGAAGGAAATAGGAATCAAATTTTCATTTGGCATTGTAGGGTTTTATGATTTGGACCAATGCATCGCTAAAGTCCAGAGATGAGGCTTCCCAGCAAGATGATTTGAAGTTGATACACTGTCACGGCTGACCTCAAGAAACAACTGGCCGTTCCTCTGAGGAGCCTGGCATCTTTGGATGCAGAGACAACACGACTGAAGGTGGGGTGGATGTGTCTGAAGTTGTTGTGCAGAGGTGTCACCTGCTCTGCATCCTCCTCTGTGGAGAAGATCTGGGACGTAAACTGAGCCAGCTGTGGAGAAAATACATCAATAATTTTGTTTACCTAGGAAGCCATATAGACCTCTTTTAACAAAAGCTGTGATTTGAAATGAAATGAGACCTACTTGAGACCATGAGATATAGATGGGGACCTCATACAAAGTCCATACAACCACTTGAGAACAAGGAGGGGTGGTGAGGCTGCCGTAATAACGGTAATACTGACTCATGTTGTGCTTCGGCAGAAGGCTCATCAGTGGGAATGGCTTGACTTTGGCTGTTTGGCCTTAGAAAAGGATGCACATCCTTAATAAGAATAGTTACAAACGACAGAAACAACAAACAAGGATGTTTTTCTTTGTTTTTCCACAAACCTTTGTAAGCTACAGAGGACAGTTTTTGTGATATGTGTCCAAAGTGCACATTGTCTCCGTAAACAACCTACAAAAAATGGCAGAATCTGAACATATGTGTATGAAAATAACTTGAAATGCTTCAATATAAACAACAGATTAGATAAACTAACATCGATGAAAAATCCAAGAACAGCAAGTCCTGTTGGATCATCCAACGCTGCTGTCAAATTCGGATGGATGGACTTCATGTTGACTATGTGCATCTGGACATAAACATAAAGCACAGAGGCATTAAGGGAAGGCTGCACTGCACCTGTTTGCTGCAACAGTGGTTTTGTAACAGTGTAGAGCTGTCTACTGACCATACTGTACCTCCATTGGGTATCTGTGTCCATCCACTGTGTGTTCTGAGCCGTTAGTGGCTGGGCTTCCCCAGTGGAAGTGTAGCTGGATGGTGTGGTACATATCTGGAAGACCTCCACCGCTCACTGACATGCCACTGCCAACCTGCAGCACAACTGAGAGCAACCAGAGATGTGTACTCGCTGACCCAAAGGCACGATAAAGACAATGATGCACAGGTTTGGGACAGTATCTGCAGCATCCTCACCAGAGTGTCCGTCATTTTGAAGCGTCCAGTAGCCTGTTTGGGTCACATCAAAGCCCTCCAGATGTAAAGACCCCAGAGAGTTGTTTCTGGTCATCTGCTGGTCCAGATTGATGGGTGAGTGGTGCTCTTCGAGTAAGGGGTGACAGGGTGGAAACATGTCTCCCCATGCATAAGGATCTGTGGGTGGAAAAGAGAAGACATGAACTCCAAATACAATTCTGATGGTTCTCAAGAGGACTACCGCATCATGAAAGGAGAAAAATCACAAGTCTCATAAACAGGCCCACCAGAAGGTGCATTTTGTTGCTACTTTAGTTTATTCCTTTTGGTCCTGTCACAGATTCGTTCCTCAGCAGATGGAGATTTCCCAGTTGTTATCAAATTACAGACTTTAAGGACTCCTGCTAATCTATGTTGGTTTAAGAGCTGAGACTGAAAGGTCATCCTTGACCTTGGAAACAGTAGCTGACAAAACAATCTCACCACAAAGTCTGTTTGTGAGTGAATTTTCAATCATAAGACGCCATCTTCACCCAGCTGTTATGGAATATTACAGAAGATGTTAAAATGATTTACTTTTCTCACTTTCGTTTCGTTTACACTTAAAGCATCTGCTGAAGAAGATTGTGTCATAGGATCAAAAGATCCAGAACTGCTACTAAATGGACTTTGTGGTGAAGTTGCATAGAAGAAGAAAAATATTGTTCTGACTTTTCTCTATTTTGTTTGTGTGTGTGTGTGTGTTTTAGCCTTGATAACTGAACCTCTTCAGGCCTCTAACATGTTACTGCATCTGAGATGTTACAAAGGGGGTTAATCACTCTGAAAGACATGAATTAAACCTTGGACCATCTATTTAAATACTGACTGAAACAGAACTTTAATTGTATGTTTTTGCTGTTTTTTTAATTTAAATGTAATAATTTTTCATATTGGCCTAGTGAATTATTGGCTATTAAGTGGGCACAGTGTTAATATTTGTTAAAATGACCATAGGAGAGACCAACTCTAAGACACTGTGTGTGTGTGTTTTAAAATGAAAAAGAATTTGTTGCTTACTTACCACAATGTGGCTCATTGTAGCAGTAGTCTTCTGGAATAAAATACAACAAAATGTTGACAAACATTTAGTATTTCCTCTAACTGCATCATCTTAAACTAAATTCAAATTACATAGAAAATAATTTTATGAGACTAAAGCTGGGACCTCACCTGAACCAACGCATGAGACAGCAATCACCAGGAGAGCCACAGTCAAAATCATCGTAGGATCACACGGTGAACCGCACAGGTGTCGGAACCTGAGGTAGACTAAAAGTCTGTGCAAATGTCCTGCTTAAATAGGAACAGAGGTGAAAGCTGTTTTATATTTTCTCCTGGCTCTGATCACCGAGCATGTCATTACCAGGGCTAGTGAGTCTAGTGTTCTTTTCGGATCAACAGGCTCATTGATGCAACGACAGCTTCAGCCCCCCACCAGCGATACCCACTGACCAGTGACAAGACCCATTCATCTGATGGGAAAGTGAGAGGATGTGTAGCTCAGCGGATTAGGAGGGGACATAGCTCGGCACCACCGATAACAGTCTGGATGGAGAAAAAGTGTGGAAATATAAAACTAAAATTGTAAAATAAACAATCCCTCTGTCTCCTGTTTAGGCTTTGCTCTGTGTCCCATCAGTCCATCACAGTAATGTTAAAGAACTGAAATGGAAACCTGTTTAGTGTAGGTTTATGGTTAAACTCTTGGAAAAATAAACCTGACTGGCTGATTAGTTAGCGGGGCTATTGTTGGAATGCTTTCACCTCTAAACCCACCTGAAGTAACAGTATTTTCCAAAATTATAAAACTAATTATGTAGCATTATGTGCTAACCAGCCAACAAAAACTCACCTTTATTTGGACACATGAATTTATGAGAACACTTAAAAACAATCAACTTGACTTCACAGTTCAGTATTGTTTTATGTTTCTCCCATTATGTGAGTCTGTCACTACTTGGCCCGTGTGAACAAAGCCGCTTTTCTTCAGCGACAGCGTTTTCCAGCAGGCTATCACTATCTGTGCTCTGCCTGCTGCTTTATGAGTCACTGCGTGGTGCGCTATATCCGCTTTCTTTCAATTATTTGAATCTCTTGATTGCCTGGATTGGATTTATCCAACAACCTCGAGCTCACTGCCGGGGATTTCCTTGCATCATTCTCTAATCCTCTTTGACATTTGGTCACTGCAGGTGGAGGAATTTCCTAAACCAGTCAAAAAAAAAGAGCAGCTAAATGTCATGATAGTTGAGGTTTATCTTAAGTGTTCATACCCAGTGACGCATGAATTGTCCTTCATGGTGCAATTTATTTGGCATTTGATTAGATGTACATCTATCTCAGGAAAAAAAACAAAAACAAAAAACACAAGCTCGCCCTGCAACTGATGCATTTTGTAAAATGAAATAAAGACGAAATGTAGCATTTGTTGTATTATACATAAAACATTTCAAATCCAGAAAAATTAGCTCTCACGTCACCATAGTCTAGCACAGGAACTACAGTGTAAATGCAGCAATTTGGGTCATAGGCATGTTTTTGACGCATAGAGAGATCTTAAACTATATGCAGGAGTCTCTGAACCTACTGTACAGGACACAGTGAACTAAAAAGGTTTCCATAAAAGAAAATTTCTCAGCATGCGAGAAGATAAAAACATGCACCGCAGGTCCAAAAAGCAGAAAAAATAACCAAACAAAGTTGATGGAGGAAAATACAAAAAAAAATAAAATAAAAAAAAAATAAAAAAGCCACACCAGGACACCATCTCCTATACACACACATGCACATCACTTTACTTTTTTCCACAATGTATGAGATTTCATAAATAATCCACTGTGGATTGTCAAAATGCCAAAAATCAAAGTGGGGAAAATAAGCCTGAGCACAAAAAAAAATGTTTTCTACATACAGTACATTCAAGCATGAGATACAGTCATTCGGACACATCGATAGCTGTTTTGTTCGAAGCAGATCAAAAGCCCGTTGAATGCTGGTGGCTGTGGGTCGACCAACTCTTCATCCTGAATCTAACGATTGTCAACATAACATGGGTCTAACTTGTTCCAAATTTACACTTCTCTTTTATTACATTTTTTACTATGATCCCACTGAGAAACAAGAACAGACCCAATAACACCAAAACAGAGAAGACTCGCAGCTACAGTCAGTGACATCATCAGCCACAGTAACTGAAAACAAGAGATACACCGCGTGAAGAATCACACACAAACAGGTCAGCATCTAAATGTGACTAATTACTTTACAAAAACAAAACCTGATTTGATCGAGGAATGAGCGTGCCAACAACTCAGTCACCGAGCATGGTTTAAGCTAGAAAATACACAACTAACTTCCAAGAGTTGATGATAAAGTAACAAAACTGGGACAGTCTGCATGATTAAATTACTTTATGATTGGAAAAGTTACTGAAATAACTTCTTTATTTCCTATGATAATGAGGAGATACTGTCCCCAATCTTCACACATACACTTGAAAAGCCCAATCTGTCTTTCCCACAGTAAAACAATCATAAATCATCATCAAAAAGAACATAATACCAAACTCCTATTTATCAGTACCACAAGTCGTTAATACATAACGCCTTGTGTCAGCATTACCTAAGAAAAATCCTATGACAGGACACTAAGCTGTACCTTCTAATAAGGTTGAATCTCTGAACTACAGACATCTTTTGCTGCAAATATGTGCTATAAACCTGGAAGACGGCATCGTGTAGCAGAAACAAGAAAGTGAGGGGGGCAGTAGGGTTTTATGAGTGAGTCGAAACCTGGAACATGCTGCAACAGAAAGATGAGAATGTTACTGTAAACTGGAGACTGATAAATCATTACAAACAGGTCAATTTGAATGACAGTATGATGCGAAGGAAAACGCACAAGGAACAAAACCTGGCTGCACTGTCTATCTGTCACTATTTGTCTTGTGCTGGACCGAGAGACAAGTATTACAAATTTGAGTGGCACAGGCTGAGGCGGTATTTACATCAGGGCTTCTCGAGCAGTCAGACTCATGCCAAGATGTTTCCACACCTCTGCCCAATTGATGTTAATAGTAAAAGTGCAGCCTCCTTAGCTTGAACGTAGAGTTTTTCTTCTATGTACAGTAATGGTTCTCCCTGTTCCCTCATATGAAAGAGTCTTAAAAAAAAAAAACAGCACTCAGAAGTCCAAATGCAGTGTCTTCAGACAGAGGGCATCCTCTCGTCACTATGAAAGCTCAAAGAAACACACTGCTCCACTGTCTGAAAAGTCTCTACACACTCTCCTCTCTATAGTCAGCATTTTATATCAATGACAATAGTCTGCTGCATCCTCTCCCAGTGTGGAATGCATCTGTGACCTTCCTCCACAAGCAGGTAATGTCTGGGTGCAGCTCCCTGCCGTCCAGCCACAGCCCTATACCATGGTGCTGAGGGAGGTGCAGTCTGCGGGCATAGAAGTGGGGGCGTGGCCATCTGTTGGAGTGTCAGGCCCCACTAGGAGTGTGCTGCTATCTATGGAGTCCTCCCTGTCCTGAGAGGATGGTGCCAAATCTGACACAGGAACAGAAGTGTTGGGAATATCACCCTGGATCCTGTCTCCCATGGCATTCATTTGGCTCAGCACCATAGGAACCCCACTGTGTCCTGAAGGTAACAACAGAGAGAGAAAATGAAGACTCTCTCCTCTGTACAAGATGAGATACATGAATAACAAGACAGGTGGCCTACCGAGGTCGACGTAGAGGAGGCTGTCTGGGTTGATGGAAGCCTCATACGGAGGAGGGGGGTCATCAGGGTGCTCGATGTCGGGGTATTTGTAGGCTGCGTATGGCGGTGGAGGCTCTTGAAAATGAAAAGCGCCTCCCTCTCCATCATCAGAGAGATGCAGGGGAGTAAGGCCAGTGCCAAAGGCATCTGGGCCATAGTCGAAGCCTGGGACTCGTCTTCCAAGGTTAAAGTGATGCACTAAGGAAATATAAACCGACAGATACAGAGGACAATGAGAAATGTCTGTTACAATTTACAATATTAGCTGCAGCATTTGAAATTTATTTGAATTAAGAGCTCATGTGCTGCAGTTAAATGAACTGAGACTAATTATGATAAGAACACGTCATTACATAGCCACAATATTATCAACAACAGAGATTCACATGTTTAATGCTCACAGTTTCCTCCAATGAGTGTTTCAATGCGCTCACGTCTGCGCTGACGGAGTCGATGCACCATGAAGAGCAGCAGGGAGAGGATGAGGAAGGATGAGATACAGCTGACAATCAGTCTCATCCCGCTGGCCATTGAGTCAAACAAGCTGTTTCCATCTGAGGGGGAACGAGGAAAAACGACTATGAATATTACTTTCTTCAAGCTCACTGGCTTAAAATGACCTGCTGAGTCCATGCCCCTGAATAAGATAAATGCACACATTCATCTTGCCTTGCTCTTAAAGAAAATCTGCACTGAAGACTTTCAAACACATAACCCCAAAATACATAACACCAAATTTGAGAGTCCATGAAACAATTTTCAGAATAAACAAGTATTAATACTGGTGTTAATCCCAGTGCAATTTTTTTACTAAATTGGATCTCTTAAAGACTGAAAAACATTCTGTGGCTGACAAAAAAACTGCTACAAGCTGCAGTCAATCAAATCCTGCATATTTGAGAAGCTGTGAATGTGCCTTAAAAATGATTTAATGTAAAGTTCAGAGAATGAACATTGAGGGCGTCTATGCAGTCTCATTCTGCTGAAGTGAAAACTCCTTGGATCAGTGAGCTGGCAGTACCTGGGTCCAGGCAGGTGAACTTGCAGCACTCCTTGGGGTCCTTACGGAAGTGCTGGCAGCCCTGTGGCCGCTCACACAGTGCGGCCACACACATCTCAGGCTCACCATCATGACATGTGCAGCTCAGACATGGGTCGTCCCCTTTAGGGGTGAAGTAGTAGCCCTCATTGACAACATTGTCTTTTATGTCCACACATGTTTGCCCTGTGGAGGAAATAAGACGTCACAAAACATCACGCCTGAAACAAAACAAAAAGAAAATTGCACTGCTACTTTGACATATCTCAGGGGAAGGACAAAATAAGCACGTACTCCTCTTGCACAGAAAGGGAAACTTCTTGTAGCAGTTCTCAGCGTGCCAGCTGTGCAGGCCTCGTTCATTCATGCTTTTGATCTGAAAGCGCTGCAGCTGAGCACAGAAGACATTGTCCTGGGTGGGAGATGCCTCTCCAAAATTGGTCAGACCCTCAGGTGGCAGAAACACCTGCATCGACCCTATTGAAATAAAGAAACATTTTAAATGTTACAACAATCAGACATAAATGAGCTTCAAAGGTTTCCCCTTTAAGATAAAACCTAAACTTAAATAAATACCTTTGTATGCTACTTCCCAGCGGCCCTCCAGGGAGTGGTTCTGGTTGGTGATCACATACTGGTAGCCAACCCAAAACCTTGAAAACAAATTTAGAAAATGGTCTCTTTTAGGGTTTATATTTATGCAGGACTGTGTCGAGTACTTGAAACGTCCATTATTGGCCACTAGATGGCCTACTACCAAAAACAGACCACTATCACTTCCCCACCTGTGCTGATGTATTTACCATCATAACAACTGTCCACAAAGGCAAAGCAGAGGTTTAAAAGGTTAGTAAAGTAGACTTGGTGTTGATATCAAGTTGCAGTTCCCTCTTCTGTACCTTAGTACTGCATGACAGATTTCAAGCATGCATGTTCAGCCATATATTTATATTCATATATTTAGCAGTGTGTGTGCAGAGGCTGGGTTGAGCTGTATAAAGAGGCAGAAATGTCAAAAACTGTTGGTCTTTGCAAATTCTTTTTTTTTTTTCAGAAATAGAAAAGTGCACAGCAACTTCTATCCATGAGTCACTGTGACCCTATTAACTGGTAAACGTCTGTAATAACACCCATGCAGCTCTTTCACAACCTCACAGTCCAAGGCTTAGACTGATGCCACATTTTGATATAAAATACAATTCGCAGAACTCACTTGCACTGGTCTCTGCGCTCACAGACTTTGTCGTCAAAATCCACCTCAATCTTCAGTATGAACTGCAGCTCCTCATTGGTCACAAATGTAGCCAATGAGCCATTGACTTTCTGACAAGTCTCCACAGCTTGCCAGTAGTTCTCGTTCCTCAGGTACACTTTGTAGCAGCTGGCGGTCTTCTCGTAGTGGTGCCACCCGCTGGGGCATTTCTCTGTGGGTGGAGAAGAAGCTTTAGCACTGCAATTGATAATAGTAATATAATTACATGAAGGAAGAGTAAAGTGAGATGCTTACTGTTAAAGCGCACTGGCTGAGCCACACCAATGACGTCTTCAACCTGGTCATATCCGTTGCCAAAATGAAACCTTTCTTCCTTTATGGCTGCAAAAAAAAAAAGGCAAGGTCAACTAGTGTTGAAATTATTATTTAAATAATTTTCTGTGCACACATTGGTTTATGTTATACGACCTTTTAAATACTTGTGCTGTACTGAGCCACAACCTGCTCCAGCGTTCATGTGCAAGAATAAACTTTCTTCAGTTGTGTGATAATTTTATAGATGAATAGATAAAACAAAGTGTGAGAGCTGCCTAATTGTGCACCAGCTCTACCTGGTAATTCCTCGTTGTAAACTGTGTTAAAAGCAATACACTGAGCTCATGCATTCTTAAATGTCTAGTCTGTATGAAATTATATTTACTTTACTGTACATGCTTCTGATCAAATTTCATCCTATGTCAAGGTTCATCACTTACTACAGGGATTTACAAACACACAAAAAATAAATCAAAAGTCGTCTTAACCATCTAAAACTCAAAAAAGGATCAGAAAGTTAAAAGATTTAAAGAAGATTAAAGCAGAACCAAAACAACAATTGGTGAAATCTATTTAACATTTATCACATTTGATCTATGTTTATACCATGCTAATCATGTCTTTTTCATTTTTAAAAATGCCTCATGACACTGGAGTATCTTTGGTTATCTACATTATCGGCTCTGTGTTCAATAACGTCTTTTATGCAGCCTACAATGTGGTTTTTGGCAACCGGATATTTTCTAATTCCATTTCCTCTTTTTATTATGTGAAGACATTATAATGCTGAACAATCTCTATGAAATCACATTTTGCATGGACATAAGCCTGAAGCCCAGCTGCAAGACTTTGTGTATAATAATCACATTTACTAAATCAACAGAAACAAATCTGAATTTGTGGTAAGGCTCCTGTTCCTGTGTGCGGTGAGATTTTAACAAACAATTCCTGCATTTATTGCCTATCTACAAATGTGTTTTTTTTTTTTTTCTGAAGAAATGAATACAGTCAACAATCAGTATACAGTGTCGCTGGCAGGCCTCAAAGCAGACACAACTACTGCAGCTTGGAGGTCACATGCTGGACTCAAATCCTTTCAATAATTCCCATTATGTGGTCAGAGATCTCTCTGGATTTAAGAGGGAGAAAACAATAGGATTTCAGTCAAAGGCTTAGTACTGTGACATAAATACAGTGTTGAAGAGATCAACAAACAATAAACAAAGACATATGCAGCCACTCTCAGAATTCCCCTCTGCCATCTGACACTGTCAGTCCACTCCTGATTCACTGTGGTGGATCAGGACTTTCTCAGACCTAAAGGCTCAAAACCATGAACTGAACTATGTGTGGAGGTTTACTGTGCTATACACAAAGTATAAATGTGATTAGGGTGCACTGCAGTCGAGTCAGCGATATATTTGCGCCAACACTATAGGCTACTTCTAATTCATGTGTGCTGTCCAGCTGTAGTCCTGTTGTGCAAGTATGAAAAGGTCCTTGGTGTTGCCATAGTTTCCAGGAAAGTCAATCATGTTATGGGTGTTAATGGTAACACAGTGGGTGTAAAGGGGCTTAAGTGAGCTATACTCACGAGGACAGTCCATCTCGTCACTCTTGTCGTCACATGCTGTCCAGCCGTCACACTGCCAGGACATTGGGATACACTGCATCTTCCCACTGCGACAGGCAAACTGCCCAGGGCTGCAGCGCTGCTCTGTAATATAACACGAGGGTACATGTGGTCAAACCCGCACATGACTGAGGCCTTTTTCCAACAGGAGAAAACCATTTAAGCAGAGGACTGTACGAGGCCATGTGAGCCTTCACAGACGCTGATATGAGCTCTTAGATGATGGGCTGAAAATTTCTGGTACGTCATACTGTAGATAGATTGTTCATGTTCTTCCTGATAGAGTCAGAGCGCAAACTAAGGAAATCACAGATAAGAGCAGCACTACTGTTGCACCCAATAGGATGAGCTGACTCAGCAGCTACTGGACACTTCCTTTCAGCCTGTTGGATCACTCAACAATTCAATATATTGAGACAGCAAGGAAGGAAATAAAACAGATAACAGGTAGAACTTTGAAAAGAGATCCTGGTAACTCAGTAGGTTTGATCTTGCCCGAGTAATTTATCATATTCAACTAAATTTCCAGCAGACTATCACTAACTGTGAAAGACCACCAAAAACAAAACAATAACACTTATATAAGCCTACGTTTAAGACCCTACAGTCGACACTGCATGTCTGGACAAAAACTACGCCATGTAGTCCAATGAAGTCCCTGTAGACCTCTGTGACAAAATTACTGAGACACAGATCAAGGCAAGGGTTAAAGTTTATACAGTCTATTTAGAGGATAGTAGCAAATGACAGCTCACTCTGAGCTTGCCAAAAAGAACTCCGAAAGACATGGGGGGAAAGACCCTCTGGTGTGAGGAGAGAGCAATTGAATTCTCTGGGCAGAACTCCAAGCACAGCTGATCACCTGGCTAACACCATCCCTACAGTGAAGCGTGGCGGCAGCAGCATGTTACAAGGCCCTTCTCAGCGGCTTGAGGCCATCTGCCAGGAAGAACAAGATAAACTGCCCAAATCCAGGTGTGCAGAACATGTAGAAACTTACTTGGGAAAACTTGAAGCTGTAATTGTAGGAGTATCAAAATAAGGGCGAGGACACTTTTATAACAAATTTCAGGTTGTTTTTTTGTTTTTTTAAATAGTGAGATCCTCTGCACCGATCTGTTAGCAAACTCAAATAAGTCAAAGTATTAATGTTACTGATCGTGGGAGAGGAAATTGAAGTCGGTGTCATTTTGTAACCCTGTTGATTCCTAGACAGCAACATAAAAACTTAACTTACTACTTTATAGTTTTTCTAACAAAACATTGAAGGATGAACACTTGAGCCTGATCTTAAGATCACACAGAACTCTTCTTCCACCGAAAAGAACTTCTAAATGCAAAACATATTTTAGATTTTTGAGGGAATATTTCTTATTGCTATCACAGGAACAAAGGAGGTTGAAACTGAAGGAACTGCTGGTATAGTCTCACAAAATAAATAAATAAAAATCTAACAGCCACTACACTAGAGGATGTACTGCTTGCTTACCTGACAATAATCTTGCCAGAGCTAGCTGCGGACCTGAAACAAACAGAAACAACAGCGTGACTATCCTGCATGATAGTGCCTCTAATTAGTAGAATTTTTATGATGTCTCTAAGGATTAATTTTACTGGCCAACAGTTGTCGGGCATTCATCAGTGCTCAATGATTTTCCCGGTCAGTACTTCTATTTGCATACAGGCGGGTATTTCGCTACAATAGACGCCCCCAGCCACTCACCTCTGCATTTCTTACATGACCAACACCAAAACAGAATAAAAACTATGATGCTGTTCCAACTCAGTCCTACTAAAGTGTAAGAAAATCACTTTCGGCTTTTCCCATTTTAGGGGTCACCACAGCAAATTGTCACACTGATGACTCGCATGTTGATATTTGGCACGTGTTTTACGCCGGATGCCCTTCCTGACACAACCTGGATTCGACCAATTTGACCACCACTGCACTCCTAAGCTACCACACATATGCACATTTAACTGAAATGTGGGCCACGTGTGCACAATAATGACAATAACATTGTCTGTGCAATGGTCAAATCATGCAATTCCCTCAAAAGCTGCCTTGTTACAGTATGGTCCTTCGAGTCTTGCTTGATCAGAAGCATCTGGTGTTGTTCTCCTCCATGTTTACTTTTACTGGTCTGTGACGTGACAACAGGCAATATGTGCACACAAAAGGAGTGAGATATCAAAACAGGAAGCACAAATTCCAATCTGACTGCTCTAAATGTTGCATAGTCAGAGATAGGATATGAATCAAATCAATGAGCACACACGGAAGTGGCCCACCTCCGATTTGAGGGGGAATAAAAAAAAATCTGATTTGGTATTCACACATCCTTGAAAAGATCAGTTCTGAGTCACTTGGGAGGTATGGGGGTGGGGGTGGGGGTGGGACACCTAATTTAAGGTTTAAAAACCACTTGACATGTGAGTCTCTTTATCATGGGTTTAAACTGAAGCGACCACTGGACATACACATGCGCTAACCACAGAGCCAAAGCATTGTCATGTGTATATGATCACATCTATTTCTGTTTTGTCACATACTTTTGCAATACTGTGCAAGTCGTACCTACCTTACATGCCTGAGTAATCTGCTGAGTCACATTATTTGAATGTTAAACTGACTGATGACTGATTTTATTTTGAATTAAAAGCACCTTCAGTGTGTATCATTCTCCCTCAGGTGGAGTGTCTATAACATCCTACATTGAAATATTTTGGCATTTTAAGTTGCCTGACTCACTACCAACCACCCAGCTTTGGCTGTAAGACCCAAGGCTTTATATCCAATCTTTAAAAGCCAAGCAGGTAAACCACGTGCAGACTGGTGGGTGACATGACTGCCAAATAAACAGCAGTGTAGATACAGGTCTGGTTTAATAAATTTTTGATGCATTCACCTTTGCAAAACTGTCAGATTCTGTAAGACACTGAAAGATGGCCAAGACAGGAGAAGTGGTTTAGACTCAGCTGCTCAAAGGTTTTAATTAAATTAGGTACTGCAAATTGGATTTTTCGTTTTTCATGAATGTCCATCTCATGTGGGCATCATGTTTTGGGAAGCCTGCTCTTGATGCTCTACAAAATACACCCCATCTAAAAAAGCTGTACAATAGTACAGTAAAACAGTTAGTCCCCCCTGTGGGCACCCTGGCACGAAGGCCACAGATCACCCAAACTACAAGCACTGGTTTACAAACAGACAAAGTGAAGCCCAGACAATACTAGATATTAAAAAGATTTGACACTAGACTGAAAGGTGGAGGACAAATCATGAACAGGCTAATTACAGTTGTTTGGGTACAAATGAATCACAAAGACCCTTCTTTGGAGCATAAAATCTGGCCAAGAATCAAGCATCTACACAAAATGAACAACTAGATGCATGTAGTGATGTTGTGTGTAATCTAAAGGTCTTCCATGGGCAGAATGCAGCTTCTTGGACTAATCCAAACAATAATGTGTTTATCATGAGCTGAACAGTTACAGTTATAGTTTTCCTTATCAACTGTCAAGATCAAGGTTAAAGAAAGCTACAAGACACCACTGTCTTCTTGCTGCTTAAAAGTATGCAGAAAATTCTATCCAAGTGTTTGCATTCATAACAGAGACACTGAGAAAAATGACCAACAATCATTTGCCCCTTTTGGTTCATAACATGTCCACCTTGAAGGGTAGTTGTGAATGTGAAAGTTTATTAAAGGTGTTTAGTTTAAACAAAGATGTGCATTGTGTCTTTTCTTACAAGGGCTTACAGAGGGTGTCATGACAATTACATTTCTAAGTTTATCAGTCTGATATGTTTAACTGTGTAGATAAATAACGAGTCGGTGGCCGAGAGCCAGGTTTAATGATGCAGGAGCATCAATCTCTGACATGCATTTCAAATTACAGTTTCACGACCGAGAGCAGACCAACCAGCGGATGTAGCGGAGGGTAAACACCTAGACTGTTTACAAACCGTTTTATTTAGACAAGAAGCCCATTTTTTATGAGTCTACAAAAGTCTTTATAGCATAATTCCCCACTACAACTGTATCAATTAAGAGTCAAAACTAGCTATCTTAGCTTATTATTAAAGAAAAGCAAGTAATGATCTACTTTGACAAAATCAATTGCGTCAATTGATTTTTTTTCCCTGAAATTAATGCAAGTTAGCTATGCGAACTGTATAAATCGTCAAGTGTTTGTCGTTTAATGTTTGCCAAGTGGTTATTTTAGTTGGCTACTTAAAAAAAATACCGCTTTGGTCCCGAAAGCATAACGGTCCTCCACACTGTCCAGCACCGGCACAGCAGCGGTGTGAAAAGAACCGCAGTCCGTGGTTTCCAGCAGGCCTCTCCGCCTGACCCGCAGCTCTCTGCTTAGTTACAGCTGTACTCTGCCTCACTTTCCAGTCGAGCCCACGGGAATGTAAGCAAAGGAAAAACAGCTAGGATTTACTTACCAGTCCGTGGTGGGTCCGTTAACGTGAGGGCGAAGAGAAGAGAGAAGAGGACGAAACTGCTGCTGTCAGCCTTTGGCAACATTTATCCTCCATTCATAGTAACTCCTCTATCCAGAAATTTTAAAATTGTACCAAGGATCTGCACAACCGGTCTCCCAGAACTATATTAAACGATTAACACGGCATATATCCATTCTAGAGCGCCAGCTAATGAAAAACAGCCTATCTAAAACACAGTTCAAATCACGGCGACGCAGATTGTGGTTCTAATCTCCTCGAGCAGCTAAAGTTAGCTAACTGGCTCTACCGTTAACGTCGTTCGTCCTCTCCCGCTGCTCGGTGTGGAGCGGCGCTGATCCAAGATGGCTGCGGCCTCCCATCACAACAATCCCAAACACGCACGCAACACACAGGCTATCAGCTGGAGAAGCTGTTGGGGCGGAGTTTAGCCGATTATATACCCAGTGTGACACAAGACAACCAGTGTGTGTCAATTCCCGTTGAGATTAATATGTGATGAAACCAACCCAAATTATCATCGCTGGGTGTAACGAGTGAATGGCCTCGGCGCACAGTGATGACTGGAGCATCGCTGTGCGAGCTGCTGCCACACAGGACCGTGTTTGCTCATAGATTCATTGTTCTAATAAAAACGCTTATCAGACTTAACAGTTATGAGGTTAGACTTTTTTTTCCACTTTAGATCTTTGAAACACATGCACTAATTATACACAAACATGCAATTCTACAGGCCTACTCTGAATGTCATTATTTTATTAGCTATAGCCTTCCTTCCCCTCTTGGGACTGTTTGTCTCCGAGAACGATGAACAGCAGCCTGTTTGTCGTCAGACGGTGCCGGCACCATATCCTCCCAGCAGCTCACAACTTTTGATTATGAATAAGAAACTCTGTAGATACGAAATCTGAATCGCGCCGAGCTTGAAAATCGATTCCTTTATCTAGACTTACACTTGATATTAAGATTGTGTCCTGATATCTGGACTATTTGGGGCAGTATTCAGTCAGTGATATAGGCCGTTCACTTTGTTTTCAAAAGCAGAAGACATCATGTTGCTTAATATGAAAGAACAGCCTAGTTTCTGGAATTGCCATTATCTCATTGAAGATCAACGTCATATCGCCGCAGCATGTATCACCTGTCAAACACATGGTCATGCTGTCATGATTTTTTAAACCAGTTTTATTAAACCACAAGCAATACAGAAAACTTAAGGAAGCAATTAAAAACAGCACTGAGACAACTTTGACCATGTTAGTTGAATGCAAATTAAAATAACAGCAAACCAGCATCAACTTTTAAATTGAATTAATAATAAATTGAGACCTTGGAGATAAGGTCTCTGATTTTATTTGCTTTTCTGAAAGCAGTGTGCTTCCATATAATTTAAATCTTTTATGTGAAAAAAGTGATAGGAAAAATGAGTCTAAAAAGTGGTCACAATATTGGTTTGACAGTTTTACTTTTTGTGAATACATCTCAGGTACCATCCATCAGACACTATTTTTGGGAATTTTCTAATTATATATACTGTATGTATATAATTATATACCATCAGCCTGTGGACAAAGCAGACTATGCAAGACTAGAAAAAAAGCATGTGTGCACCACAGGTTTAACCTTGTTAGCCCATGGATCAAGCTCCAAGAGTGGCGTTATCATATTAGGTGAATTGGTGTCCTTGAGAAAAATTTACAGCTTTTTTTATTTTATCATTTTAATGGAAGAGACCTCTGATATCTCAGCACCAGCTTTCAGACCTACATGTCATACAACCGCTGATCCACAGCTCAACTCCAATACTACAAATGAAACAAAAGCTGAATAAGTCCTAAATATGTAAGTTACAGCTGCTACTCAATTTGCCTCTTTGGGTCACTAAATCAGAGGTATGCATTATATGCAGTTTGCAAGCAGCTGCTGTGACAACACTGACACATCTCAAATAAACATCTTTCACATTAATGATAATACCCATATTTACCCATAGATTTGTATAGAGCTTTACAATGCTGAACTCAACTCAGCACAGTGACATTTTTAAGCTGTGAAATTAAGAAGATATGGCAAACAGAAACATTCATCATTTATACTGACATTCAGTGAGCTATAAATCTGAAGCCATCTTTTTTTTCTCCATTTTTAACACCAACACAGAAGTGTGACATTGAGAAAAACTGCTGTGACAAATCAAATTATTGAGTAATTTCTATGATGCAGAAACAAGCGTGGCAGCATCTAAGAAGAACAGGCCAATAGGCTGTTGGAAGCTATGCATTGCAATCTTACTTGTGGGTGTGCTTCTTAGAAACACTATTGGATTTTATAATTATATTAATACAGTCAAAGCATGGGTCTGTGGCACAGATAGAGCTTAAATGGAGAAAAAGAATATTAAAAAATCTGAAACCTTGGCAATTGGGGTAAGATAAATATTAAAATAACATTCAGACACTGTTTCGACAAGATCTACGTTAACCTGTCTGTACAAAAATGTAACAAATATTTAAAAATTCTTCAGTCCACTGCACATTTCTTTAAAGATGCAGCCTTTAATCTGAGAAATCTGTTTTCAAGAGTTTATTACAAAGTTCTCCACATTATAGTCAGTCTGTTTGTACAATCCCAACAGAGAACAGCTTCTCTTAGAAAAAGTCTGAGGCTTTCCGTCTCTTGGGTAGCTGCAGCAGATTGTCTGTCAGTGACGTAAGGTCCTGAGAGCTTGGCGTCTTGGCTTTGTTTGGTGTTGGTGTTCCCGAAGGAGTGGATGGGCCACTAAAGGGAGACTTGCAGCCAATGAGTCTGTGTGAAGGAGATGGGGTGTAACTTGCTCGTAGTGCTTTGTCCGTGTACTTGCTAGATGCCCGATTTACAAGCCTCTGTAGGGCAGGGGTGAGGGCAGGGCTCAGTCCTTTAGGAGTAAGACTGTAACACAATGGTTGAAGTGCTAGATTAGTTTCATGACAACAGTGCATTTCCTCATGAATGAACCAAGATATTCTGTGGAAAACTAGTGGGGTAAAATACATAGTTTAGAATTTAGGTTCAACGTTCCTTCCTTTCAAGGGTTTAGAGGGCCAACTACTTTACCTTGCAAGGTTCTCTGTAGCCTTTCGTAGTGCTTCCTGTTTAGTTGCACGGTTTTTGGCAGCAGCTTCATTAGCCATCTTTAACCCCAGCCTCTCTCGTCTTCCTGGCTCTGGAATCTTTTAGATACATGAAGGTAAATGTCAACATTTTACACTCAAATTATAAAAAAAAAACAATGATTAACAAATTGTTACTGACACCAATGAATGTTCAGTACCTTAAATGATGGACCATGATTTCTCTCAATATACGGGGTGTCTGGTCCATCCAGACGAAATGGGGTGCTCTCAATCTCACCCCAGGTCATCAGAGGTGACTCAGATACACCTGAGGGCACAAAAAACATCTTCAGAAATCTGCTATAAATGAGGTATTCAATCAGCCATTTAAGACTACATTTAGTTTCTCAGGAACATTACAGTGTGGAGAAGGATTTCAGGACTCATTTACCAGGTGCAGGTGAAGGCGTTCTTTCAAAACCATATCCATTCACCGTCGGAGATTCATGTGAGATGAGCTCTTTCCCATCAGGGCCTACTTTTCCTTGTTTGAACTGGATAAAAAACATGATACCGCAGTTGAACCATTCATGAATTAATACTTTTATCCAACTAAAGAACAGACTGCCATGCAGAAGCATTTCATTCACCAGTACAGGCCATATTTAGGGCAAAACAAAATTACCCGAGTGCAACAATGCATCTTATTTCTCATTTTCCTTTATCATAATCCTAAAATGTACCTGTGCATTAAGAGCTGCAGCCTGTTGAATCTGGCTTTTGTTGAGAGCTTTGCTGAATGGGTCTCCAGCAAAGCGTGTATTCTTGTGGAGTACCTCCCTTGGTTTCTTAAAAAGGGCATCATCATCTTTAACACCTTAAAGAGAAAATGTGAAAAGAACACTTACATTTTTTTCTCAAATCTGAATTTGGCCAATTTTGCCTTTAATGAATACTTTTGTTTAAAAAAAAAAAAATTGTACCCTCTGGATAATACATCAAGGCGTTCTTTGCTTTGTACTCCCATGTCTCCAATCCAGCTTTAACACATTCAAGTGCTGCCTTCTCTACTGATGGTAAAGCAAGGTTCTCCTCATGGCGCTGGAAAATAGTGTTTATGAAGCTTATCAAAGTAATCAAAGTAATACTGGGGGCGCAAAATTATCGTCTGACTGAAGATGAAAATTAAGTTAAAGACCACTCATAGCCATCAGAGTTGTAGTTTACATAGAATAGCAAGCTCCAAACTTTTCAGAGCCACATTTGAAGCCTAGAGGTTATGAGTGTTTGACACTCAAAAAAGTATTCCTGCCATTAGCAGTCCAGTTTGGTCACTATCAATTGATTAATACTTAAATCTATCATTAGAACATCAATAATGCAAGCAATCCTGTCTCATTTGCTTTGAATGCAAGTAAAGCTATTTAATCTGTCCATATGTACCTGTTTGAATTCAGCCTCGGCCTCATATAACCAGGCATGCTTCACCTTCTCCTTGTCTTTTGCTAGGTCCATTATCTGTTCAAATGATGCATTATCCTCGCTGGTATTTTTAGCAAGGAAACAGTCCAGAGAGGGCAGCTTTTTCTCTTCCTTGTGATCATCCTTGCTCTCTATAAATACAACAATAAAAAATAGGGATAAATTACTGTTATCCTTTTATACATATATTTGTTAGAGTATTACTGCCAAATATGTTAATGGGACCAGCTCAGAGCAGTGTGTTGTATTATCTGCTCATCAAATTAGAAAATTGAAATACTTACCCCCATCTAAACCTTTAGTGACATGAATGGTGGAGGGAGATGCTGAATGGCCCACTGGTGTCTCAAAGCTAGCTGGAGTCACATCTTACATACAAAAAGGATGAACAGGTATAAATTATGTTCACGGGAGCCAGACAAAATATCTGGTGAAAACAGTGTTTTATTTCTCATGGTATAGTGCCACTGGCTTGTATAAAGGAAAACAAGTTGTTCTCTGTTTCTCTGTGCTAGGTATAAAAACAGAGAAACCCAATGTTTAATTTCACTTCATATATTACTCACAGGGGGCAGAAGATCCTGGTGTAGCTTTTGTCAAAGACGATCCATATCGGATGGATATCTCTCTCATTCTCTCAAGGTCTCCATTTTCCTCTGCTTCCAGATAGTCCTTCTGGGCTTGTAATTTTGTCACGTCAGGGAAGAAATCTCTCTCGATGATCTTCTCTAAACTCTGTTAGAAGTACACAAATAGCCATTTTGCCTTTATATGAGAGGATAACGCCATGTTTTACGCAAGTAAAACAGAAATCGGATAAGGCTGCAGCTAACTACTATTTTAATGATGTATTCATAATAAGCAATATTTGTCACAATAAACAATTAACCTGTTGTTGAACTGGTTTTATGCTAGCGTTAACCTGGCTAACAGAACCTTGTCTGGTGACTAGCTACTGACTGCCCATTAAACAACAAACATTTAGCTATCATTTATCTACCTCAATGTATTCTTCTTCATCGAGGACCTTTCTCTTCAGCTTCTCCTTCTCCGTATCCTCGGGTTGTTGTCGAAGAGCCACTGTTGTGACCGCTGTAGGGACGAGAGTCCCGGATAACGCTTTCCTCACGCTTGCACTGCCCTCCATTGTGGGCCGTGTTAGCTTTCTTGGATAACTGATAACGTAAATCCTTAAACACCGACCGAATTTAAAGGTAAGGAATCTACTCTATTTGCCAAATACCCTTTAAATGTATAAGTAATATCGTGGATAATCACACACTTACAATAGCGTAAACGGTCTTAAGATTGACACATTAGCTAACAGGAAACCAGCGTACAAACAACATTTACATAGCGTCTGAATTATTACGTCACAGGAAGTTTAAGGATGCTCGTCAAATTAAAAGCATAAAAAAAAGAAATTTTCCTTAGACTGTTGAAGTGTTTACAGTAGTTACGATAGGACGTTATGTTCTCCTATCAGTCTAGTCATTTTATTTTACGAAGGAATGCAGCTGAAATCGCGCCTCCAAAAGAATTCTCTTGTAAGACAATACTAATAGTAGGTCTACCCAGTTCCTTTAAGGAGAACTGCAGTTTAAAAATTGAAGTATGAAATAGCAGAAACCTGGAGGTGTTTTTCATTTTAAGAAAAAGCTAAATATTTAAAATAATATACGCAATTTAAATGAATTATGGATTGAATCAAAGAATCGAGTTAATCAATTTCTTTCAAAAAACAAACAAATTTTATTTTATATCAAGGACTCTTTTTTTCAAAACGGTTGCAAACTAGAACAATTCATTTACAGATTCATGATTTATCTTCCAGGATTACCATGCTGCCAGTACTTCTATCATGCACTCAACCAGTCAGCTTCACAGATAATCTACAAAACTGTCTAAGGTCACACGATGCGTCTGACACACACACAAAAAAAATCCATGTTTTTTTATTTTCTGGAAAAAAGGATTTTGTCTGGCCATTACTGTGTTATTAACTATAGCAAGAATTCCTTGAATTCATTTAACTATCTCTCTCACACACACAGCTCTCTTCTTTTAACTTTTAACCATTTAAAATTTAGTTTTCTGTGCTTCCCACACCAAATGATAGTCTTTTCTGACGCCTCCACTTTGCTCTTCGGTTTTTAAACCAAACCTAGCAGAAAAGTTAATACAGTTGTTATTGTTTTCACAAATAAATGGAATAGCATTAGACACTTATCAAACATCATTATTAACAAAGACAGTGAATAGAAACATGAGAAATTAACCAGGTCACAAGGAAAATCCAGTGCCATCATATCCCAGTTAAAATACAGTATTTACTGTACACTTGCACAAATCTTTAATAATGTTTGAGAATTTCTCCTCTCGCACACACACAAAGCTTCAGCTACAATATCTGCACTCAGTATTTTGAGACTTACTTGTGTAAGGGACTGATATATATTGATAAATGTTGAAGGGGAGTGCGCTGTGCTAGTTTCTCCCTTGTGTTCACATCTGGATATTGGTTTTGGAGGAACAGCTCCTCCAGTGCATCCAGCTGCTCCTCTGTGAAAATTGTACGGTGACGTCTGGTCCGCCGCTGCACCTGACTGGGTGACTGCTCCTCTCTGTGAGCCTCTCCCAGCCTGCACTGCTCTGAGAGCATCACCGGGGGCCATCCATACTGGCAGGCTGCAGGGAGGAAATCTAATTTGAGGTCAGCGAGCAAAATATCTGACCCTGATGACAAAATCAGTTTTAAACATGGTGCATAATTAGCCCTACCTTCATGAATAAAATCCGTCTGGAATATGTCTCCACAGTGGGAGCAGTAACAGCAGCACAGGCAGGTGTGAGGGGCCGCCTCTGTCTTTCCTTCAACAGGGCTCACTGCCTTCTCTCTTAGTCCAACACTGCTTGTCCCACATGGCTGTCTGTCTCCATTACTGTTTGGATATTTACTCAATATGTTTTCAATAGTGAAAGGAAACTTTTGCCTCTCCATCCTGATCAATCCATCCATCTCCAAAGAAATTCCAGTAAAACACAGGCAGTGGTAATCACAGGATACTGACACACAACACTTTTTGCTAGTTCAGACTTTGCTGCTCTTCTCCTTCTCCTCTCTCCACAACAACGCATCAGGCCCTTATAGTGAAATTGGGAGGCAAAAAAAAAAAGTAAAACTATAATCCCCCCTATGGACCAGACACATAAAACGGTTGAAACTTAATTCCTAGCTAATCTGGGCAGTTTTGTGAAGAGGTTAGGGAGGATGGCAGATTCAGTTAATCTTGCCTCATTCCTTTCTCCAAAAGAAATCAGATTTCACTGCATAAAATGAGAAGTGGAGCGCTCCTAAGATCCTTATTGTTGAGGTTTTAGAGAAAAGGGGATTGCTCGGTATTAGAAACCTGGATTTAAAGATGAACGTTTTTGGTGTGGCCAGAGACTTGGGTATGCTGAACTTGAGGATTAGCTTCTAAATTTATTTTATAATGTCACTTTTGTATTTAGCTTTATCAACAACTGATCTTGTGCAAATTAGTAGAGATACGTATGTTCAGTAAATCACGCAAGCTGAGGCGCCTCTGACAATGCATACTGATTACACGCTGTAATTAGGAAGCTGCAAATGAGTGATTTGTTCATTTTGTCACTGTCAGTGACGTGTGTGGTGACAATAATACATTTGTATATATTACTCATTACTGATAAACACCAATGGCAAGAGTGAATTCAGAAAAGGGGTCACTCCACGGTTTGTATTTGCAATTGCGCATCTTGTGTCTTATCTCTGCGGTGCAGTCTTTTCAGTCTGACTTCTCCGACAATGTGCACGGCTGAGGTAAAGCTATTACAGGTTAAATTCATCCCCTCAACAAATCCTGTGATATCATACAATGCAATACACTTTTTCAGAGAATTAATGGATTTCCACAATCTGTCTTAAGCTCTTCTTATAAGGGCTTTTGAAAACAGATAACAATAAACACCATCTCATCCTTTTCACTTGGGTTTAATAGCATCCAGATTGTTGATGTATAGTTTGCGGAGCATGAGAGATCACTATCTGCAGTTATTGTGGCTCTCAAAAGAAGGAATTGTACCACATCTACACTGGTTCAAGCAGTTCAAAATTCATTACTGAGGATTAGAATGATAAAGGCTCATTTTGTTGTTGTAAGAGCAATATTTGGTACAAAGTGAACAAAACAACCACCATGCTGTGATTGCTGATATAGTTTTTCTGGATTTTTAAGGAGCTGGTTGGACTGCTTTTTCCTATATAAAGAGATTTTAATTTGAAACATCAACAGCAATGAAACAATTTTACTATTAAACATTTAGTGGTGGAAATGGTTAAATCCAACACCACGTAATTTACAAGGTCCCATAACCACCCTTTGAAAACACACCCTGAAGTGATATAAATGGGACAAATGACCATTTCTTTCTTTCCTACAAAAACAGAAATGAACCACACACAGTCCAGATATGGTGTCAAAAAGCATGGCTGCAGAGAGGCTGTGATGTGATGCTGCACTTTGAAGAATAATGCCTTGAAAATACTGCACAGTTATCATACAGATTTGTTCTTATGTGCTGATGATGTGTAGATTCTTTCAGTTTTTTATCTTTGAATAATATGTCCTTTAATTTATGATTTTGGTATCAGGCATATTAAATATGTACTGAAATAGCAAGTCAGTGGGGGGGTAGAAATTAAAACATGAAAGGACACACATCAAATCACTACAATTCAAACAGGAGACACAAGAGTACAAATACATCTACATCAGACTAACTGTTGATAAATCAGTGGAGAACCCCACATGTGTGAAAAAGCTCAGTGTCTGCGCTGGACCTGGGCCAAAACCCTGCAGGGGAATTGGAGATTGCAGCTGTGTGACCAGTAAATGTAGAGGATCCACCTTGCACTCTCTGGTTTCTCCAGACTTGTGCAAGGAAACACATTAACTGTTGATATTCAGACAAGACTTGTCACATAGCAATAGCCTGGGGATTTGAGAGGAATCAAGAAAACCACTCTGTGGTTGCAAAATGCCTAATGGATGTGTAAACGCCAGTATTATGTTTCACTCTCTCTTCCTCTTCCACATATTTTGCCCCTTGTATCTGAAATTAGCTCTGGGATCTGGTGTTTAGTCTGTCTGGCTTATATAGCATCCAGCAGGATTTTTGAACTATGATGTTGAAGTCACAGTGACCATGTGTTTTGTTAATTAGGAAGGCTTATGTTACTTAAGGTGAAATACTCCGTAGGCTATAGCCTACTGATATGTACTATGTATTTAGCATGAGTTGTAATGTTTTTATACTCCTAAGGAGAAAGGCAAATCTCTCCTAAGTGCCAGTAGGCCTATGTAACCTGACATAATTACTCAGTCTAATTTTTGTTACATTTTTCAACATTACTTACTTAATACCTTTTGTATTTTGTTTAAATAATATTTACATGTATTTGAATCCATTTTGATAAGTACACTTCCAGTGTTACAAATATTGATTAAAAGGTGCATTTTAATTAAGTTTACTCCTACACTTACCTATGTGGCCTCCACAGGCCAATGGTTCTCAACCTTTTAATGCCTTCAAATGAAGCAGAACCCTCTTCTGACCCCTCATCACAGATTAATCTGCATATGATTTCATGTGGAGATGAGTTGTGAGCATTCAACCATGAGGAATTTTATCCCTTAAATCGGCAGAAGGATATATATGGAGATATATAAAGACCTAAGAGGTAAAGTAGGTATCCAGTATTTTGACCAAAAATGTATAATTTTAAGAAGTCAGAAAAACCAGTGACATTTTATGTAGCCGTGTGTCTCTTATCCATTCAGACCCCATATGGCCTGGCTCTGGCTCTAATACCCCACTGTAGAGCATGACAATGTAGATTCGTGCGCCACCCTCTGGCAAAAGACAGCAACGGCTTCCGCCGAGAGACAAACGGCGGCGGAAGACGCGAGCCACCCTGCCCCTCGCGATAATTCGCATTGAGGCAGCAGCTGGGCGGAAAAGGCGGGAGGAGACTGCCGCTTCCGCGTACGCGCAGCACAGACACAACAGTACAGCAAAATGGACGATAAGTTAATATTGGCTGTATTTAATTACCCAGAGCTGTACAATGTCACTTTACCAAATTACCGCTGCACGGAAAGTCGGATAAATGCCTGGAGAAGCATCAGTAACGCAATGGGTCTCCCGTGTAAGTGTTTTGACTGTTTTTGGTTTATCACAACTTTACTGCTAGTTTGCTCAACCGATGTTGGCGTGGAAGAACAAACAGGCATAAATGAGGAAATGTGGGGTGTCTTGGTAGATGGGTGTATTTCACGCGTCTCCTTTAGGCAATTTGTAG